AGGCAGACACTTAACCAACTGAGCCACCCAGGCACCACCCAGTTCAGTTTTCTTTTTTTAGTAAATTCTTTTTTTTTTTTTAAGATCTTATTTATTTGACAGAGAGAGAGAGAGAGACACAGCGAGAGAGGGAACTCAAGCAGGGGGAGTGGGAGAGGGAGAAACAGGCTTCCCGCTGAGCAGGGAGCCCGATGTGGGGCTCGATCCCAGGACTCTGGGACCATGACCTAAGCGGAAGGCAGACACTTAATGACTGAGCCACCCAGGTGCCCCCTCAGTTCAGTTTTCAAAAACTTTGCAGTACTATTCTGGGGTAAATCCCATTTGGTCATAGTGTATAATAAGTTTGATGTCCTGTTAGACTTGGTTTGCTAATATTTTGTTGAGAATTTTTACATCTATAGTCATAACAAATACTGGGATATAGTTTTCTTTTTTTGTGATACCTTTATCTAGCTTTGGTGTCTTTTGTAATGCTGGCTCCCTAAAATGAGTTAGAAAGTGTTCCTTTGTCTTTTGTTTTTTGGGAGAGTTTGAAAAGGGTTGGTAATTCTTTAAATGTTTGGTGGTACTGGACTTTTATTTGTTGGGAGGTTTTTGGTTACTATTTTGATCTTTTGTAGATCTGTTGAGATTTTCTATTTCTTCTTGAGTCAGTTTAGGTAAATCGTGTGTTTCTTGTGTGTATCTTTTCATCTAATTTTTTGGCATAAAACTATTGTAGAATTATCTTGTAACTCTTTTTATTTCTCTATCATCAGTATGTCCTCACTTTCACTTCTGACTTTAGTCTTTTTTTTTTTTTGTCATTAGGTAAAGGTTTGTTGATCTTGTTGATACTTCCAAAGAACCAACTTTTGGATTTGTTGATTATTATTTTTCTACTCTGTGTTTTATTTATCTTTGCTTTAATCTCTGTTGTTTCCTTTCTTCTCCTATCTTTGGGTTTAGTTTGGTCTTTTACTGGTTCATCAAGATGTAAAGTTAGGTTATTTGTTTGAGATCTTTCTTCCTTTTAAATGTAGGCATTTATACCTGTAAATTTCTCTCTGAGCACTGCCTTTGCTGCATCTCATAAGTTTTAGTATGTTGTATTTTAGTTTCATTCATCCGTAGGTATTCTCTAATTTCTTTTTCTGATTTCTTCTTTGACCCATTGGTTGTTTTCCACATATTTGTCAGTTTTCCAGTTTTCCTTCTGTTACTCATTTTTAGCTTCATTCCATTATGCTCAAAGCAGATAATTTGTATGATTTCAGTGTTTTTAAATTTATTGAGACTTGGTTTGTGTCCTAACATCTGGCCTATCTTACAGACACTTTCATATGCACTTGTGAAGAATGTGTATTCTGCTGTTGTTGGGTGTAATGTTCAACATATATGTTAGGAGTAGATGGTTTATAGTGTTGTTCAAGTCCTCTATATCCTTATTGACATTCTGTCCAGATGTCCTATCCGTTGTTGTTGCAGTGCTATTCTGATCTGTTCTGTGTGTGCCTGAGTTTCCAGTCTGAGACCTGTGTCATGGCCTTCCCCATGGTTTACTTCTCCAGGTCTTTGGTTTCCTGTCTAGGGTGAAATTCAGGCATCCACTGCTTGGGGGTGGTCCCAGGAGTTCATATACAGCTTGATGGGATCTTTCTCTTGAGATCTTTCCTTTTCATGGTCTCCTTGACACTTTCAAGTTCTGAGGGGTCTTCTGTCTATAAAGCTTGTTTAGTTTCTCTACTCAGTTTCATACTTCCCACCACTGCTTCTGATACAGAGAGAAAAAAACCAAGGGATTTCCTTCATACTCTTGGGACCACGGTTCTTCTGGTCAGAGAGGAAGCTTTCTGTATCTTGGAGTTTTGCGTTTCTGCTTGTTTGGCTGCTGCTATCACTGCCATTGATGCTCTGGTGTGGTCTGGGGGCTGGGGTGGAAGAGAATGGTAAAAACAAAATCCCAGGGAATTATCGCATTCTTCCTCATCTGCAAGGGCTCTGTTTCTTGTTCCTTGGACTAGTGTGTTAGTCACCTTGGGCTGCCATAACAAAATGCCACAGCCTGGGTGGCCTGAACAACCAGAATTTATTTTCTCACAGTTCTGGAGGCTAGAAGTCCAAGATAGAGGTGCCAACAAACTTGGTTCCTGGTGAGAGCTCTTTTCCTAGTTTGTCGAAGGCCACTTTCTCACTGTGTCTTTACATGACCTTTTCTCTGTGCACTTGTATAGAGAATGTAAATGAGCTATCTGATGTCTTATAAGGACACTAATCCTATTGGATGAGGGCCGCACCCTTATGACCTCATTTAACCTTAATTTAATTTAAAATTTTTATTTTATTTTTTTTTAAAGATTTTATTTATTTATTTGACAGAGAAAGACACAGCAAGAGAGGGAACACAAGCAGGGGGAGTGGGAGAGGGAGAAGCAGGCTTCCCGAGGAGCAGGGAGCCTGATGCGGGGCTCGATCCCAGGACCCCGGGACCATGACCTGAGCCGAAGGCAGACGCTTAATGACTGAGCCATCCAGGTGCCCTAATTTAATTTAAAATTTTTAAAAGATTTTTTAAAAATGTTTATTTATTTGACAAAGATATATAGAGAGAGCACAAATAGGCAGAGTGGCAGGCAGAAGGAGAGGAGAAGCAGGCTCTCTGCTGAGCAGGGAGCCCGACGCAGGGCTAGATCCCAGGAGCCTGGGATCATGACCTGAGCCAAAGGCAGCCGCTTAACCAAATGAGCCACCCAGGCGCCCACCCTTAATTTTTTAATTTTTTATTTTTTTTAAGTAGGCTTCACGCTTGTCGTGGAGCCCAATGTAGGGCTCGGTCTTGTGACCCTGAGATCATGACTCGAGCCGAAACCAAGAGTTGATCATTCAACCAACTGCACCACCCAGGCACTCCCCCCATTTTTTTAAAAAAGATGTATTTGTTTTGGGGGGGTGCAGAGGGAGAGTCAGCGTGGAGCGCGACGTGGGGCTCAGTCTCAGGACCCTGAGATCATGACCTGAGCTGAAACCAAGAGTAGGGCACTCAACCACCTGTATCACCCAGGCGCCCCTGCCTTGTTGTCTTCTAATATCCAGGTAGCATTTGATGTTTGGTTTTGTTCTCATGTCAGTAACATCTTTGCGCTGTTTCTCTTGCTCTGAAAGCTTTGGGAATTTTCTCTTTATCTTTCAAGTTCCTGTATTTTACCAAGCAATGTGGACTTTATTTTCCATATCACTAACTGTCCATTCTATTAGTCAACCCTCCTGTTAAATTTTAAAATCTTTTTCATAATCCCACCAACCCCTCCCCCACTAAGAACTGTTGTTAGCTTATCGTCCTCCTTACGATTTTTGTTTTAGGCACACAGTATCCATCTTTACTCTGAATGTACTAGTTAGGATTTTTCAGAATCTGCATTTTGATCAGATCCATAGGTGATACATTCCCTACTCCTAGCAGATATTCACCTGATGTAGTTTTGCTAGGGGCATCTTCCTGAAGTCTCTGATGACCACAGCCCTGTCCCAGGGTCCCTGACTCAGCATGACAGGTGGCTACATCGTTATGTTCCAGCCCCAGCCCAGGCCCACTGCATCCCTTCTCTGTCTGGATGTGGAGAACTGCCTGCTCGGAGAGCCGCCTCCAGGAATTGAGACGAATGGCCACACAGAGGAGTTCAGCAAGGTCTACCCCGTTCCATGAGATTCTGAACACAGTTCTGTTTAGCTTACATTTTTAGATAAAATTTACATATGCTGAAATACACAGGTGTTGAGTATACAGTTGAATGCTTGGACAGATGTATATACCTGTGACTACTCCCCCCAGTGAAAATAACTTTCTCATACCCTCATGCCCCTTTGTAAACAGTCCTCAAACTCCTCTTGAAGCAAACAGTGTGTCCATTTCTTTCACTGTATTTTTCTCTGTTCTTGAACTTCTTAGAAATAGAATCATAGGGTATGTCCTTCTCTTGCGTCTACCTTCTTTCACTCAATATGGTGTGAGAGTCGTCGTTATGAATCTTTTATTTTTATCATTATTCATCATCATGTTGTATCATTATTCTTTTTTATTGCTGAGTAGTATTCCATTTTGTGAATGCAGCACAGTTTAATTTATCTCCTTTTGAAAATTTAGGCTCCTTTTTACCTTTTGGCTATCATGAACATTCTAATACACCATTCCTCTTGGCTCAATACCTAGGAGAGGAATTTTGGGTCACATGGCAGGATAGGCTGCACTTTTGAGTTTTTCTCTACAAGGTACCTCCCTCTAGTTGCTCCCACTTTCGGTAGGGTTATGCTGCATCCTGCCCAGCCTGCATGGGCTTCCCCCCCCACCTCGCCGAACACCAGGCTGCAGCCTCTTTCCAGCCTCACTTGCTGCTCTGTAGCAGCCGAGTATGTGCTCTCCCGGCAGAGGTGGACCCTGCCACTTGTGCGGAAACTGTGGCTCCAGGGCCCAGCTGAGCCTGGCTCAGGGCTTATGCTCAGGTCCTCACTGAGGGAGACACTGCAGGTCCCGGAGGGCTGGCTGGAGTCCCCTCGGTTCTTCCTGTGCCCATCCTGCCTGGCCCATGCGCCAGCCTGACTCTGGCTCTCGGAGGCCCTGAGCCCTGAGGGGATGAGACCACCTCTTTGCCCTCTTCCTGAGTGCACCTCACACGAGGACCAAGGCTAAACTGCAAAGTAAGAGTAAAGAAGGCCAACAACCGATTTTTCTCATAGGGACTACCTGGATGCTTAAAAAAAAAAAAGAAAAGAAAAGAAAAGTATCAATAGGAACAAAATGTTCATTTTGTTTTGCAGTCTCTGGTTCTCCTCTGGCCCTTTTGGCTGATCACTGTTGACACAGCCGGTGTCACCCACACTGCTGGTCCCCCAAACCTCGTGCGCCCTGTGGCCGGCAGGCGCCCCAAGAGGCCCAGCTCTGGTCTTGCCCTCTGCACCAAAACACTCAGTACCGTTTGTTGAATGAACAAAATAATGTTTGCGTCAACTCTAAGCTTTAAAATCCATTTAAAGAGGAATTTCTTTTCCAAGGAAAGGTGGTTATTAGGATGGAAAGGAAAACCATTCTAGAGAGAAGACAGGACGGACAGTGGACATATGTTTTGTGGTAAAACACGCTGTCGCCCTGACAGCCAGGATCCCCTTCCCGTCATTTCTTGCCTCCCTTTCCTTTATCCTTGGGCTTTTCTCCTGCCTTTTCTGGTACATTTTCCGGTGGCTTTTCTCCTTCCTTTGGCTTGTCTAACTTTTGCTCCTTTCCTGCAGGGGGAATTAGCACATTCCTTTTGACTCTCTTGCCTTTGAAATGTTTTCTTTGAAGACATATATCGATTAAGGCGAAAAGTCCAGCCACGCCAATAAGGATCTGGAAAACAAAAGAATGAACTTTCGCTTTTCATTCCAAAGCAGGCAGAGTCTCTCCTTGTTTCTAATTCGTCAGCAGGTGCCGGTTAACACATCCCTTGGTTCCCGCAGACGTCCAGACCCGACACTCCGATTTTGCCCCTCCCCCAACCTCAGCATCCCTCTCTTAAAACCCAGCCTGGGTGTGGCCCATTGCCTTGGGGATCAAGGTAGCTAGGAGGAGGAAGCCCTTAGCTCAGCTGGCTCCCTGGACAGCATCTTTATTTAAGTGGCTTCTTCATTGGGAACATTGACCAGCTTTACTTTTAAACTTTGCACGGGTCCCAAGATTTTGCGAAAAGAAAAGAAGTCCTTTCCTTAAGTCAGGGGAAAACACCCATTCTCCAGAAGAGGTGATTTCTGAGCAAATAAAGTTCCCAACACGAAAGACTCACCACAGCAATGAAGTAGTGCATGGGCATGGTCTGTCGGCTTCTCACAGCTATGACTACAGCCCCCACAAGGAAGATGAAGGCAAACAGGTCGTTGAGAAGGTCCTGAAAGCGTGGGAGATGGGAGAGTCAGTCACAACCAGAACCAAACCCCCATCAACACCCAGCCCGGCATCGCTTCCTCCAGAGGAGATGGTTTCCAAACTTCTGCCTAATTTTGTGTTTTTGTTTTGTTTTGTTTTAAGATTTTATTTATTTATTTGACAGGGACACAACGAGAGAGGGAACACAAGCAGGGGGAGTGGGAGCGGGAGAAGCAGGCTTCCCGCGGAGCAGGGAGCCCGATGCGGGGCTCCATCCCAGGACCCCGGGATCATGACCTGAGCCAAAGGCAGACGCTTAACGACTGAGCCACCCAGGCACCCCAAACTTCTGCCTAATTTTAAAAATATATATATGAAGATAAATATACATCAGCCAGGTGGACATGCTCTGGTCCCCAGGGCTGGGCTCTTTGTGTTGAGACCCAAAGCTCAGGGTGCTTAACTGCCTTCATGGGACCCCTCTGCTGCCATCTCCTCTGAAATCACACATTTAGTGGCTAATTGTTTCTTTCTTTCTTTCTTTTTTTCCTCCAATACTCATTTAAGTAAATGCACAACTGTTCAACTTAATGGTGAGTACAACCCTCCATCATCTTTCTGCTCTCAGGGCCAGCTCCCCTCTCTGGATCCAGAGTGGGCTGTATCGCTGACAGGAGGCTCTGTTGGATTCTGGCCTCTCTGCTTGGGAGCCCAGCAGCTGCCTCCTCCACCCCTGCCCCCACCCCCCTCCTGCCTTACTTCCTAGACACTCCCCTCTTTGCAAGGCCACGCCACCTCCTCCATCATCAGCCTCCCTTTCTATCCCTTCTGGCCTCAATCTTAACCTTGCCCCATACTTATTTCCTTTACCTTACTGAAAATGTCCAGATGTTTCCAGCTTGGGCAGAGGGCTGCTTTCCCTGCAGGTACCATGCACGGCCACTACCCGGCGTAGCCAAGCTTAGAGTTGGCCAAAGCATGGCCCTTGCAAGCCGGCTTCCTCCACCATCACTCATGCGGTGATGGTAGCCCAGAGTCTGTGCACCCTCTTCATCATGTGGGCAACAGCCGACTCGGCAGCCCTGGACGAGGCCCGCCCTTCCCCTTGGTTTCCGCGATGCTGTTTTTCTGTTAATTGTCCTTCCCTGGCTACTTGTTGTGGGCCTTTTCTTTTCTTTTTCAGGGTTTTGAATTTTAATACATTTCAAACATACTATCCCCACTCCCACTTCCAGCAGCCATGAACCACTGAGATTGAACAGATGTTAACATCTTGCAATATTTGCTTAGAGCACTAAAAAAAAAAAAAAAAAGCCAGAAGTAAAACTTTGTGCAGCCACAGGGTCACCATTCTAGCCCTTTCATGCCTCTCGCTCAGAGGCAGCCACACACATTGGAGCTAATGGGTACTTTTCCCAAGAGTGTATTCATATTTTCCTCCATATTATATATTCACAAACAGTATGTACTATTTTATGTGTTTTGCAAATTTAAATTTAAATAAAAGATATCTTCTAGCATTGGCTTTTTTTAAAAAAAGATTTTATATATTTATTTATTTAGAGAGAGCATGTGCATGCACGGGGAGGGGGGCAGGAAGGGAGAAGAGGGAGAGTATCTCAAACAGACTCTGTGCTGAGCGCGGAGCCTGACATGGGGCTTGATCTTGCAACCCTGAGATCATGACCTGAGCTGAAATCGAGTCAATTCCTTAACTGACTGAGCTACCCAGGTGTCCCAGCATTGTTTTTTTTTTTTTTTAAAGATTTTATTTATTTATTTGAGAGGGGGAGAGAGAGAGAGCGCAAGAGCAGGGGGAGGGAGAAGCAGACTCCCTGCTGAGCAGGGAGCTGGATGCTGGTCTTCATCCCAGGACGCTGTGATCATGACCAGATGCTTAACTGACTGAGCCACCCAGGCCCCGCCCCCAGTATTGGCTTTTTAAACTTAAAGTTTGTGAGATTTATCAATTTTGAGAAATACATATTGAATTCATAAATTTTAACTGATGTATGCTATGAATAAACCAAACTAGAGACATTAGGTTGTTTCTACCTTTTAGGAAATTATTATTACAAACTCTGCTGCGGTGAAAACGCTTGTCTGTGTCTTCTGTGCATATTTCTTCCTGGTAGGAATCAATAATCGAAAATCTCCCAGGGGCACCTGGGTGACTCAGTCGGTTAAGCATCTGCCTTCAGCCCAGGTCATGATCCCGGGGTCCTGGGATCGAGTCCCGCATGGGGCTCCTTGCTCAGCGGGGAGCCTGCTTCTCCCTCTCCCTCTGCTTGCTGCTCCCCCTGCTAGTGTTCTCTCTGTCTGTCACAAATAAATAAAATCTTAAAAAGAAAATCTCCTAATGAAGAAAAGCCCAGAACCAGATGGCTTTACTGGTGAATTTTACCAAACATCTAAAGGAGAATTAACACCAATCCTCAAGCTCTTCCAAAAAATCGAAGAGGAGGGAACCACTCCCAAACTCATTTTATAAAGCCATCATTTTCCTGATACCAAAACCAGAAAAGGACACTACCGGAAAAGAAAATTTCAGACCAATCCCTGATGGATAGTAATACAAAAAATCTCAGCAGCACATTAAAAGGATCATTCACCATGATCTAGTAGGATTTATCCTTGGGGTGCAGGGATGTTTTAAACATATGCAAATCAATCAATGTGGTAGGTCACATTAGTACAATGAGAGAAAAGAATCATATGATCACCTTAATAGACAAAGAAAAAAGCATTTGACAAAATTCAATATCCATCTATGATAAAAACTCTTAACAAATTAGGCATAGAAGGAACATACCTCAACATAATAAAGACCATACATGACAAGCCCACAGCTAACATCATACTCAATGGTGAAAGGTTGAAAGCTTTTCCTCTAAGGCCACTCTCACCAATTCTATTCAACAGAGTGTGGGAAATCCTGGGTAGAGAAGTCAGACAAGAAGAAATAAAAGGTATCATCATATCCCTGATCTCATTTTTCTACTGGTTTTAAAATTTTTCTTTATGATGGCTTCTGTTGTAAAGTTTTTAAA